TAATGTTGCTACTGTGATGAATCATAATGTAAATATCTGATATGCAGGATGTATTTAGGCGACCCCTGGGAAAGGGTCGTTTGACCCCCAAAGGGGTCGCGACCCACAGGTTGAGAACCACTGGACTGTAAACTCTGCCTCTTGGCAGCCCCTCTTCAGTCCTTTGCTCCTTAGGTGGTTTGCTTGCAGACTGCCCTGCCCATGCACAATTCAGGGCTTAACCAGAGATTTGGACAGAAGTTTGCACCATTTGTGGTTCATCCCTGTGGGTCTCTACTTTCTATCCTTCCCTCCCCTCACATTTTAGTGGCTGTGGTTGCCCTGAACTCTGCCTTCTAAGACTCTTGTTTTGTTTTTTGGAGTGTTAGCTGCCCTGCATAGTGCAGACTGCAGCATGACTGACCGGAGGCCAAATGCCAGTAAAAGTAACCCTCTACCAGTCCCTTCTTTCCCGTTTCAACACCCCTCTAGTATGTACATGCTTTTGTTATTCTCCAGAATCTTCAGGTCGTTATTCATTCTATTTTGTCCAGGGTTATAGTTAGATGTGGGAGAGTCAGTCTGACAGGCGCTTAGTTAGCAGTTCCCTCATTGCTCTTGGATATAGACATGATAAGCAACAGTGTCTGAGTAGCCCCTTGGTTTACCAAATCTCCCTGAAGATAGTAACCAGTTAGGATACTTATAGGATGCAGATTACCATCCTTTTGTCATGGAAATTTTGATTCAGCGGGTCTGAACTGGGAACTAGTAATTTTCTAACTAAAGGTTTTAGAAAATAAGGTGCTTCTTATTTTCAGGGAAGTTCAGGCTAACATGGCATTGGGCCCTGGCTACTCAAAATGTGGGACCTTGTTAGAGGTGTAGAATCTCAGCCTCTCCCAAGGCTGAAACTGAATCCACATTTTAACGAGGCCCCAGGTGATTCATACCAACATTAAGTTTAAGAAGCGTGGGTTCAGGCTATTGTGATTTATTAATACAGAATAGGAAATGTTTTCCCTTCTATTATGCATTCATTCATCAAATTCTTTTGGAGATGAATAAAATAGACATAGATCCTACCTCGATGGTACACAGCCAATAAATAAACAAGCACATACGTCACTACTATTATAGCTGCAAAGTGTTACAAAGGAAACACAGAGATGAGCTCTGTGCCAGTGGTTCTCAATCTTTCATGCAAATTAGAATCACCTGAGTGGCTTTCAAAGCTCTCAAATGCCAAGGCTACACGCCCAGGCACATTAAATCAGAATCTCTGGCAAGAGGGTGGGCGGACCCAGGAATCAATAGTTTAAAAAAAACAACCCAGACGATTCCAGTACACAATCAAGGTCACAAATTGATTATTCAGGCTCATTGAAAGAACTTAGAAGTCAAAAGATCTTGTTTAGTCTGAGAGCTGTAGATTAGTAAATTTCTAAGGATTTAGGGAGCCGCATGTCTGAAGGTGGGATGAATCTTGAGGAAGGAAAAAGCCTGATGTATTTGAGAAACTAAAATGGCATCACAGTGTGGATCTAGGATAATGAGTAAGAATGGAAAAGGCATCAAGCTTCCCGCCACATCTGGGCCTTCAGCAGATATTCACTTCCCCTTAGAATACTTCCTGGGGAAGAGAGTTCCTGAATGCCACTGGGAGTGACCCACCTTTGCTCCAGCAGCTGACTTACATTATCCTCCATTTTTCTTCTCTCATGGTACAGTTTGGCTTATTATTGTTGAGTCTATTTTTTAAAAATCACATCCTAAGCAAACACTATTGATACTAAAATTATTTGGTCAATGGGCATGAATTTTAGTTCCAGGTTCAAATCAAATTGCTGAATTTCTTTCAACAAAGTTTTTGAAAATGTTCATACTCATCAGAGCTGTATGACTCTCTCTTTTATTCCTTTACAAATATTTTGCCAATTTAACAGAGGAAAATGGCGTTGGTTTGCTGTATTAATTTTCAATTCTTTATGTTTTAGTAAGGTTGACCTGTTTTTTATACAGTTTGTACGTGTAGATTTTTTTCTTGTCCTTTAGCAATTTTCTCTTGGGCTATCTCTTGATTTATAAGGGCAATTTATGCTGAAAACGTCAGCAAGTTGTCTTATGAATTACAAATATTTTTCTTTTTTGTTTATGGTATTTGGGACATATTAAAGGTTTTAAAAATGTTTTAAAGTAAACTGTATTATTTTTTCCCCTTATGGTTACTTTGTTTATGTTTAAAAAGAAAATATTCAGCTTTTCCTCCTAATTTTTTTATGTTTTGTATTTATCTTTTAACTTCCTTACATAGGGAATTGATTTGCTTCATAGTGAAATGTTTTGTAGTTCTCTTCATATGGGATCTGTACATATATAGTTAAGGTACATCTCTAGTATTATATATATAGCTGTTGTGAATACAGTATTTTCCCATGTATATAATATTTTGTTTTTATTATTATAAAAGAAACTAGTTTTTAAAATTTAGCTGCTTTACTGAACTCTTTAATTAGTTCGATAGTTTTTTGTTGATGTTCTCAGATATACTAATTATCTATTATAATTTAGGTACATATGTGATGTCATATCCTTATAGCTAATAATGGTACATATTTCCGTTTTCTGTTCTCTCTGTGTGGACTAAAGCTTCCAGAACAGGTTACAATAAACATGATTACAGTGAGCAGCCTTATCTTACTTCTGCCTTTAAATTCCATGCCTTTGGTGTTTCACTGTCATTTAAAATCTTGGCTGTTTATATATTTTTATGATGCTAAGGTAGTATTTTTATTGCTACTTTCAAAAATTAGGAATGATTGTTGGTGTCTTTCTAAAGACTAAATTTGCAATGCTTAAGATAAATTAATCGAACCAACTGTTTTATTGCAATTGTTGATATATTCATATATTTTGAAACACATCCTTTCTGGGGGTAAATATTAATTGATTATAGATTATTATTCTTTGAATGTGTTTTTGAACTCTTTTTCTTAGGCAACCATCGATGTATGTGTGTCTCTCTCTTCCCCTCCACCCTTCCTTTCACTTTCTCTGAAAAGCAGTGGAAAAAATATCCTCAAGTGAGGATTAACAATAAATCTATACATATAAAGAGGTAATATGCTAATTGACTGTTAAGGTAACAACCAATTTGCATATTGATGCATGAGCAACAGGAGGTGGGTGGCCGGAGCCAAGTTCCCGGGGATCTGAGGAGAGTGCCTGATGGAGCCCAGACTGCAAAGAAGGAAGAGGAAGTGGCCCCAGGGAGCTCTTCCAATCCCCCTGCATGAACACCCTACCCCACCCCCCACACCCCCGGGGAGACAGCTGGACACCCTACCCAAGCCCCACACCCCCAGGGGGACAGCTGGACACCCTGCCCCAGCCCCGGCACCCTCAGGGGTACAGGGAGGCTGACTGGATGGGGAGAAGACTCAGCCTTGGGGGTAGCTGCAGCCCACACCTCCGACTCCCAATCTCTTCCCCTGTCACCCCCACCAGGGGCGCCCACAACAATAGCATGCTGGCGACCACCCATCAGCGCCCCTGAGGCACCCAGGGCCCGCGTCCCGCTGCTGCCAGGCCCCCTCCGCTGGGGCCAGGCACGCCTCTCTTCCCTACAACTCCAGACCCTGGTGGAGTCAGGCCTAAGCGGCCCCTCAGGGTCAGACCCTTCCCCCACAGCAGCAGCGCTGTCTCCCCAGCGGAAGTGCACTGAACCTCACTGGGGGCGCAGCTAAACCTGCCCTCCTAGCCCACCTGGCTCTGCCCTGGCCCGGCCCCTACCCGACTCCAGGAGATTGGAGCTCCACCCTGAGCAGGTACAGCTGCCAAACAGCCACATACAATTTAAAGATGGCGCCAAGTGGGAAGGTTTGACAGTTACTCCCCCTTCAGCCTCGCTGCCCCCCTAACGCCCCCCGCCCAGCACCTCCAAGGACAACCACCGTTACAAGGCTACTGGGTAGAGCCCACCCCTCCGAGGCCTGTGGAACCCTCTGCAAAGCTTCCATAGCTACAGTCTCAGGAAACAATCATGCCCTCCTCTCTAATCAGCACCTGCTACCTGCGAGGGTACCGGTGGGCTTAAAAATAACAATCCTTTCCCGTTTAGACATCACTTACTTGATGAAACATTTCTAGGTTTATTAGGTCAGAACATCCTCATGACAACCCAGTGAGGTAGGGAGAAGAGATATTACAATTATCATGGTATATGTGTATGTATTCAGAAATGAAGCTCAGAGAGGAAAAGTGTCAACCCCAGTGGTTCCCAACATGCAGCACACACCCCATGGGTGGGCGGGGGGGGGGGGCAATTTGATTTTAAGTGGGGGCAATTTGAGAATGAGTTAACAGTGAATTTTTTGCATTTCTTATGGTTTAAGGGGGCCTCATCTACAGCGTATCCTACATAATAAAAGGCTAATATGCAAATGACCAAATGGTGGAATGACTGGTCACTATGATGCATGCTGACCACCAGGGGGCAGACACTCAATGCAGGAGCTGCCCCCTGGTAGTCAGTGTGCTCCCACAGGGGGAGCGCCGCTCAGCCAGAAGCTGGGCTCACAGCTGGCGAGCACAGCAGCAGCGGCGGGAGCCTCTCCCGCCTCCGTGGCAATGCTAAGGATGTCTGACTGACGGCTTAGGCCCACTAAGCCATCAGTCAGACATCCCCCCAGGGTTCCTGGACTGTGAGAGGGCGAAGGCCAGGCTGAGGGACCCCAAGTGCACAAATTTCGTGCACCAGGCCTCTAGTAAATAAATAAGTTGCATCATAGATTAAGTCACAATTTATGTTGTTTTCAGATAATTAGGTAAATGTTTTCAAGATAGGGAATTCAAATGAATTACTTTTTTGTTTACCAAATGTAATTTTCTTCTAGGAACTAGGAATCAGGTGTCATTTTGTGCAAGAAGTCACAACCTGGTGTGGATGTGAGCCAGATGACTCTTAACCCCATGAACTGGCCACAGCTGTGCTTGTCAAGTCCAAGTTCAGTCACTATGTGGACCATGGAAAGAAGTAACCAGGAGCATTCTCTCAAAGCAAAGTGAGAGACTTCATAACAACACCATACAGTGGTGGTCTTTGCATTCATGTAATGTGATTAGATCAGTGTGATGAATAAATGTCTTAATACATAAAAAATAGAATGTTTAGCACCCAAGTGTGCAAAGTGTGCACTTACATTGAAAAATACTCATGCTTATTATATTGTCATTATCCTTTTTAATTTTGTGCACTTTCTCTTTTGTAAACAAAAAGAAGGGACTTACTATGTATTTCTCTATTTTGTTATTGAAATCCAAGTCATATTTATTTATCAACTATATTGTTTCTGATTTCAATTTTTATCAATATGTAGTATCATATCACCTTTATCTTTATGTCTCTTCCTCCTGGGCCATTATTTTTCATTTTAGAAATTTCACAGGATATTCTGGCTTGTGAATTTTTCTTAGAAGTGTCTTTCTAGTTAAAAAAAAATGTGGTAGTATTTTTGAAATCACTTTAAGTATGTGGATGATAGGAGCATGACATGATTTTCACTTCAGTCTTCCTTTGTGTTTCTCAGGAGTGTTTTAAAATTTCCTTCTTAAAGATTTCATACATAACCTCTTAATTTATTCCCTTTATCTATTTTTGTTCCCATTATCTTTGTTATTATTGTAAATTATGACCTTTTTACGATATCTCCTAATTAGTTTTCTTGTGTATGTTAAAACTATTGATTTATTACTCTCGTACCTGGTAATGTTAGTAAATTATTTGCAAGTTGATTCTTCTCTTAGTTTTTTTTCTAAATATAATCTCATCATCAGATAATGCTGATTCCTTTTAATTTTTATATCTCTCTGTATTCTTATCTATCTATCTATCTATCTATCTATCTATCTAAATATCTATCTATCTATCTAGCCATCCATCTTTTTATCATCTATACTTTTACCTAATTCCATTAGAACTCAACCTCCAGAACAAAGTTAAGTAACAGTTTGATAATAGAGGTTACTTTCTCATTCCTGATGATCATGGAAATACTTTTGGTGTTTTTCTATTTAGCTTAGTGATGGCTTGTGGGTTGAAGGCGCTATATTTTTTAATTCATGGACACTTTAATGGGGTGCTAGGATGTGATTCAGTTATATTTAATTCACTGCCAATTTATTCCAGAAACCTGATGGATTTAAATGTATACAAGGACGCTTTTCTTAATTTACAGATTGGCCTGATTTCTGAGCTCAATTTTGAAAAACATGCTTTTTCATGGGGGAAAAAAAGGACATATAAGTGCACTTCTAGGCAAAGCAAAAGCTTCTTGTTTTATATGGAATGAAGAAAGTCTCATGGGGTACAGCCAGGTGAACAATTACTCCAGCTAAAGGATGGAACTAAATAACTTTTTTCATTTTTAAGCTGCTCATTTAATGGCACTGTACAAACTACATACACTCTGGTATCTGGTCCCTTTTGGGCAGGCTATTAGGAAAATGATTCTTGATGATATATGCATTGAGTTGAATTTAGAGTCCATGCTGAAGTCATATATCAATTGAAAACCAGCAGATACCATATTTATTTTTATGAACTTTGATATTCTTATGGGCTATATATTTTCCAAGAAAGGTAAAGCAGAAAGCATATTTTATAGTGTGGTGGGTTTTATCTGGCCACTGCCTTTTGCATAGTCATTCTGTATTTGGGTAATTCCCCCTTGAGTCCTGCCTCCCTAATGTAGGAATTAGAATTCTGTTTCTCAGCCTTTCTCATACCAGGATGGCAGCACGCAACCCAGCTTCTGCCCCTGAACCCACTCCTACACGCCTTCCATTTAAAGCAGAGGACTGAAACTGCTCCCAGTCAGGGGTGGCTGCGTGGGATGAAGAGGCAGCAACTTTTTGAGGCATTAGTGGCAGCGATGCTAACAGTGGGGTCCTGCACGCGGGACTGTGCCTGTGCCTGCAATCAGTCCACAGTTCCCACTCCTTGTCCCTTTAGGAACTCTGGAATATTACCTAATACCCTGTAAGGAATCGTTCTGCTGCTCAAGCTAGCTATGGTGGACTCCGTGCTTTGCAACCGAGAACCCTAATCAGCAACTGGTCCAGAAGGAAAAAGACCACTGAGATTACAGTCAATGAAAAACATAGTGAGACGCTGAACGCTAAACCCTGAGTGTTTTTGCCTGTTGGGTAGAAACCCCAGGAGCGGGTCTGTCTATATAATGACTGCACAAGTGAAAAACAAGACAAAACCTAAGTTGGCCAGCTCTGCCTTTGTTGGAACACGGCCTGTGTATGACGTCAAACAGTAAATTTAGTTGATTGTTTATGGTCATTAAATCTGGCCTTTGTTTTGGCACCCGGGCGTCACAGCCTGTCACGTAGAGCACACCGAGAATTCCTAATGAGTTTTGAATCTGGGCCGAGATGGATTTTATAAATGCAGGTAAACAGAACTCATCTACTTATAATTTGCTAAGTAAATATGCCTGCCTGCGGGATCCTGAAGTTGTGTGTCTGGGTTGTGCCTTTTCTGCTGCTTCTTCTTGGATGGGGCCTGGGGAGAAACATGGGACTATATTTATCACTCAGCACGCAGTTTCCAGAATGTAACCCTTGCAGCATCTCCCGTGGTTAGAGCCCTTCCTTGATCGCCTTCCTTTACACAAGCCAGACCAGTGGATTTTCTCATTTATTGATCTGAGAGCAGAGGGTAGATCCCCTGGGATTCCAATCCCAAGGGCCTCCTACCCACTGGGAGGTAAAAACCTTTTTTGTAGAATTTGTTACATAAAATGCTATCTGTAAAATGGTGGATATAATAAAACCAAATTGCTTCCCACCTGCGAGAGAGTAGCACCTGTGTCACTGAGCTTGGGAGGGCCTGAGGGAGAAAGGGATCAGACCCTTTGCCAGCGAGGAAGCCCGAGGTCTATCTCGGCCAGACAGAGAGCAGTTCCACTGAAGCTCAGCGGGTAGTAAGGCTGTTGGCAGGCTAGCAGGTGGCGGAAGCAGATCTCCAACCCAGTTCCCCCAGCCCTCAGAGCCAGCGCTCTTCCCAGCCGCATAGACCCTCCCCTCCCCTCCCTCTGCCCAGGTCGCAGTCCCCTTCTCCTTCCCCCAGGTGTCTGCTGCTGGGGTTTGCCACTTGGTTCTGGGAAGGGCGGCGATGGCCCGGAGGCCTGCAGGAGGCTGTTGCCTGTTCATTCACCCATGGTCGGGGGTTAGGAGCAGAGGCAGCTCTCTGTCCTGCTAACTAAGAATCTGACTCTTACATCTTCAAGGCCTTCTCTGAATTTCTAAGAAACACACTTTGGTAGGAGAGAGGCGTCCCAGGACAGGCTTTTTAGAGATATGCATCCTCTGGAATAACCACAAATGACAGGTTAAAATCTCCAATTCAGGTTCTTTCTGGAAGTTCTACTGCGGGCCCCTCCTCATAGCTTTCGGGACCCCAGGAAAATGAAAGGTGGTTCACTCATCAGGGAAGGCGAGCTCTTCAGACACAGCAATCCTCTTTTTTGTCATTTTTAGGTAAATGAATTATTTCCTCTTCTTTCCAGTTTGCTGTTTTAGTCTCCAGTTATACACAGGCCTCTCCATCGCCCCGACTAAAGGACATGATGGAATCTTCCTTATGTCTTCACAGCTTTAGACAGAGGCTGTTTCCACTCTCTTGTGGGCCTAACGCTGCCCTTTGATGTCTGTGCTTTGCTATTTACCTTCTGTCTCCCAGGATGACCTGAGCCACCTGCCTCCAGGGGCCATTCAGCACGCCACCCAGGTGCAAACAGTCAGCGCCAGCCGCCAGCCAGCCGCCAGCCGCTGTAAATCCTGCCTTCACATCGGTAACCTCCTCTCCTCATCAGTGCCCCAGCTCTGGCCTCTATCATTTCTCCCCGGGATGATCACAGAGCCCTCGGGTCTTTCTCCTCCCTCTCTCACCCCTGCTCCTCACCCTCACTGCTGCCGCTGAAATGCCTGGAATGGCTTTTTATAACTTTAAGGATAGATACAGACTCCCAATTCTTTATAAATGGGCTGGGAGCAAACTGCCTGAACGTTGCCCTAGTAGAAACCATTATCTATAATAATAAAAGAGTAATATGCTAACAGACTGGACAGCTGAACGACCTGCCGGAATGACCAGTGGGCGGGGGGCGGGGCCAGCGAGCCTGCTCTGCCAGGCCAGCCATGGTGGTCCTGGGGTCCCAGTCCCAGCACTGCGGCGCCTTCCGTAGAGGTTGGAGGACGGGGTGCAACCAACACTTTGGTAGGAGAGAGGCGTCCCAGGACAGGCTTTTTAGAGATATGCATCCTCTGGAATAACCACAAATGACAGGTTAAAATCTCCAATTCAGGTTCTTTCTGGAAGTTCTACTGCGGGCCCCTCCTCATAGCTTTCGGGACCCCAGGAAAATGAAAGGTGGTTCACTCATCAGGGAAGGCGAGCTCTTCAGACACAGCAATCCTCTTTTTTGTCATTTTTAGGTAAATGAATTATTTCCTCTTCTTTCCAGTTTGCTGTTTTAGTCTCCAGTTATACACAGGCCTCTCCATCGCCCCGACTAAAGGACATGATGGAATCTTCCTTATGTCTTCACAGCTTTAGACAGAGGCTGTTTCCACTCTCTTGTGGGCCTAACGCTGCCCTTTGATGTCTGTGCTTTGCTATTTAGCTTCTGTCTCCCAGGATGACCTGAGCCACCTGCCTCCAGGGGCCATTCAGCACGCCACCCAGGTGCAAACAGTCAGCGCCAGCCGCCAGCCAGCCGCCAGCTGCTGTAAATCCTGCCTTCACATCGGTAACCTCCTCTCCTCATCAGTGCCCCAGCTCTGGCCTCTATCATTTCTCCCCGGGATGATCACAGAGCCCTCGGGTCTTTCTCCTCCCTCTCTCACCCTTGCTCCTCACCTCACTGCTGCCACCGTTCCCTCATGCCACACCTCTCCTTCCACTCTCTCTAAAACTCAATGGAAAAACATCCTTGGGTGAAGATTAACAACAACAACAAGAATGTGGGAAGGGAAGGACCAGTGAGCGCCAGCGAACTCAGCAGCTGGT